TGTACATTAGTGGCTACAAAATAATTACTGACACCAGTGGAGAAGACATTATACCTTTCTGCATTCTGTTCTCATGCTTGGTTGGTGGGTGTTTATATGGAAATGGCAATCACAAGCTGGAACCACAGAATGTTTGGTACTTTTTCTAAATAAAAGACTCAAATGATTATTAAAACTGACATTTATTAACTGGATGATGAAGCACTATTCGTATTGTTGCCAAAATGACTACACCACTCCTATCTCAGTTCTCATGCACCGCCATGCTAAAATGTCAGCCACACACCATGACATCCAGAGAGGCCATTTCTCATGCGTGTGTGTACAGGCATGCAGTTGTCTGTCATTTGTTTCTTCATGTTTCTTTAATCTTGGTCCTTCACCGGTATTTGGCTTATAATGAATAATGCCACAATGGTTGTAGCGGCTGCGTTGTGATCCCTCCCTTATGTGTAAACAAGTACAAAAGCTGTGTTGCCAGAATGTGTCCTTTTACAAGAATATAGAAAATCATGATTTAGCCAAGTATAACTCCGCTATCTTTCACTGGGCTGGCTGTCAGCTGCTTTGATGTGAAGCCATAACAACCAGTTCCTCTAACACTGAGGAAGTATTCCAACTTCTTAAGCTTAGTCCACAATTTTATGTTGTAGTAACAGATGTATTAAAAAAAATAAATCTACAATCTGTGGTAATAAAGCACAAGGCCTGAAGTGTTTGTTGTAACTCAGAGCACTCACTGTTAACTGAAATCCAGCTAATTCGGCATTTTTATGAAGACGATTACCTGAGATTTATGACTGATAAGTTATCAAATGTAAAATATCATTTGAATCTTTACTACAGCCCATCAGGAACTTATAAAAGTAGCTGCCAGCTTCTGATTGAAATATGTTAAAAGTCCCAGAAAACTCTCAAACACATGGTTTTCTGCCAACATTTGAACAGTCTTGGTCATTTCACATATTTTTGTCTCACTGGTTTGAGGTGGACAGAACTCATTGATCCTGCAATAAATTCTCCCTTTTCCTTTGTTTCAATCAAAACTGTTTAAGAGTTGTTAACTGTCATAATAATTAACGTGATCATTTTGGAGGCTGTAGTTTGCGCTGCATTATACAGAGGCATGTTTCTGTTATTTACCCTTGATAGAAATGGGATGGGCAAAATAATAGAAGCACCTGTCAGTAGGCTATAATGCGGTACATCTTCAAATATGATCAGCTGAATCAGCACCTCTCTAAGAGAGTTTGAACATTACAACCTTCGTGAAGGCAGGATTTTTTGCAGGATTGTTTTCTTAGACTGACTTAGTTTTATCTACATGTACCTGATAAACTGCCAACTGAGTGTACATCCCAGCACCAGTCAGGATTTAGCCACGTTTAAATCAAAATCTGAGGACAGTTGGTGGGTTATTTATTACTGCTACTGCCAGGCAGCCGTGAATCAAATCTAATAAAAGCACATCCACACCGTCCTGATGAAGCACATTAGCTGGGGTTTTAAAGGGTTAAAATTCAATTCACTGGTTGCTTAATGAAATAAATGATTCAGCTTCACTAATCAAGCAAAACATATAAGACTGAGAGACTCTTGTGTTTCACTTAGACTGTAGTTTGTCAATCATGTCGGATCAGAACCATTTAGGAAAAGGCTGACAACTGGAAATGTATGGTAAATGGTTTTGCACTCAAACTGTAGATACCACTGCTCAATTCTGAAGCACGATGTCCAGCAGCTCTTGTCTGCTGTAGTTTTCTCTACTACCTAAGATTTTTTTAAATCAAGTGATGTCTTCTGTGACTTCTCTGTTTGTCTGACCAATAGACCAAATTCTGAAAATATTCAAATGACATAAACAAGTAGTAAATTTTCACACAGGAGAAGCTGAAACCACATTATGGATGCCTGCTATTTCATTCACTGACAGCAGCATCTGTAGCAGACAAGCTTGTCTCCTAAGGTCCAAAAATGGTCAATCTTTCCTGCCAGGCTATTTAATATTCACTAGCTTTTTCCAACTGTCCTGAGTTAAACGCTGAGCTTCCTGACCACATACTGTACAGTATGGGCTTGATTTTTCCAAATTACCTTATTCTAGCACTTCTTTCTTTGAAACTGAGACTATCATATCTGTTGTTTCACCTTGCTGAACAAATTCTCTTCACCAGTATCCTCAAGGGCAATGAGGTTGATTTAATTTGTTGCTAGGAATAAGCCAATTTCCACACTTGTGGGGGAGCACATCACTGCGAGCCTGGCTTTGTATCAGGGAGTAAATTGCTGGGTAATATCATCCCTCTGCGACGAGACGGATCAGTTAAGTACCTTCTGGGGTGACCGTGCTCTGCCGTCTGATCATCCCATCAATACACCACAAAAAGGCCTTTTGTTGACAACTAGAGTATTTTCATAACAGAATCTTAGTTTCACTGTTAGTTACTGTAGTTTCATCTATTTTACTATATGTATGTAGATGCTAAAAGATGAGTAAAGGTTTGACACAACACAAGAAATGTTTTCTGCTGTAACGATTAGCTATAATCTACATGAAATGCAAGATAAGGATCAATTACTCATTTAAGTCAATTATCAAGAAAAAGCACCAAACATCAATGTTCAGCTTCTCAGATGTGAGAATTAACAGCTTTTCTCTGTTTTATATCATTACAAATGGAATATTTTTGTGTTGTAGACAGTTGGTTGGACTAAATAAGCTCCTGTTGGTTCTGCTGCAACAGCTTGTGTTTTTGGAACTTGTGAAAGGTATTTTTCCCCCCACATCTTATAGACAAACAGTCTTATGTGAACCAGAATTTAGTTTTTAGACCACTGGACTAGAGCAAAATTATTAGTAACAAAAATTAGCTATAGTCTCATTCAGCACTGTATATACGTACTTGATTTCCAACTTGCTCTAGTCTATTTTTATATGCCCCCTGTCCTGAAACAGATGATAAAAAAAAAAAGAAAGAAGTCACTTGGTTCAATCCCTGTGAACTGCGGGCTGCTAGGGTTCCTTAACTGGTACGGTCACCTTCGCTATCAGGTTAATGGCTCAGAGAAAGCATGCGAGGGACAAAAGCAGCACTGCTAGATGGGTAATATGTTCTGGTGTACTCAACAATGTTTACACCATATGAAGAGTGACAGAGAGAAATGTCAGGAGACACTAGATGCCTCATTAGTGCTGTGGTTGTTTTCTCCAGGGGCAAAGGTCACACTTCACCTCACCATCCCCAAACACACACACATTAACACTTAGGATTATCACTTTATGCTTTAAAGCCTGCTTGAGGTTTTAACATTTGTGCCAGCTAGCAAGGACAGGTACTGTACTCTCTCTCTCTCTCCCCAGGCTCAAGTATTACCTTATTCCCCTCCCCCACTTTCACCCGCTGGTCCTCCCAATAGGTCTGCTGGAGCCAGGTAAGTCCCATACTCCCACGGCTAGAGCAGATAACAGAGGCCATTATCAGATTCCCAGCATTTAAACTGCAGCTCGGCATCGACCGCTGTAGCGCCTGGTTACAGCTGCCCTGCCTGCATGGTGCCAGAACGGTCTGGGGATGTGGTCTACCCCCATTCACAATCGGGATCACAGCGTGACACATATATAAGAGGTTATTTAAAAACTGCTGACTTATTCATATGCGAGTCAAAATCCATTAATATTTTATCCTACAGTATCTCACAGCATTTGTAGATTCTGAGTATCATGAGCTGCCACTCCCACAGTGTGCCAGACAGCCCAGTCTGCTTGGAGGGCATCTCAATTAACAAGATAAATCATCAGATTACTGAATTATTCCTCAATCAACTAGCACAATATACGGATCAGGTATCTGCCACGATGCAACCAATTCAGCTTCCTTTTTAGTGCCAGTGTAAAACTTCTAATTTCAGTGTTTCCATTATAAGCTTCATTTACTCTGTCACAACTTTGTATTTAGTGTCTCAATGATCTCTGTCCGCACGTTACATTACTTAAAAATAATTCCAAACAATGTGTGGCACCTTAAATTTCAGAAAACTGAGCAATGGTAGTGAATTTGTACTCTATCATCAGATGACAACAGTTATGGTATTAAAATTAAAGTTGTCCAACATTCAGAGTAAAAGCAAAAAGCACCTATTGAATTATTTTGTGATTTCGCATACACCTCCCATATTGTGTCTGTATTAACAATAGAAAATACATGAATGGCTTTGACCAGTGGAGTCCCTGTATGCTAACTCCCCTGACTGAAACCCTTCTTTCTCATCCTGCACATCCATCTCTCCCTCAGTCACACCGCATTGTTCCAGCTGAAAGAAAAGACGACCTACTCTCCTGAGTCTCTCCCCCTTGACAGCAAGGAAAAAAAGAAAACGAGGCAAAGCAAGAAGGAACATTTCCTTGTCCTCTGCTACACGGTAAGAGAGTAATAGTTGGGAGGAAACAGGATCACATTTCAGTGCCGGACAATAAAGCGTAGAGGCCAGTCAGGACACAGTAAAGGGCTGACTCAGTGATTCTCAGAGTGTGTGTTTCTGTATGTGCAAACTTGTGTGTGTTTGTCCCTCGATGAAGTGTTAACATGCTAGCAGGACAGATGAGAACACGCACCATATGTAAGACTAGGGCCTTGTTATATTGATACAGAGTGGCCGGATTGTTGCTCGATCACTCTGACAGTATTCAACACATTAACCTCCAGCCAGCTAATGCTGTTAGTGGGTTGTCATTGCACCTGCCAAATGAATAAATCAGTGTACAGCCACACATTTGCAAGCACAAGCACATGAGAGTGGACCATGCCTGTTCTATTTCTCCTCTATTAGGAACAGAAATGACTCAAGACTCACACAAGAATTTGCGCTTTGACTGAATTTTGCCGTCTACTGCTCGCCATCACAGAACAGCACGAACAAAAGCCAAGAATTCTATGCAGGAATTGTGTCTGAGTGTTTGTGTTACTGAATTCGTGAGTGCGTGTTCCGGAGAAGCCACATACCTTGACAGCAGGCGTGACTCCGTCTTCAATAGAGCTCTGGCCATTCTGTCAAGAAAGCATAAGTGAGGAACAGTCAGTGTGTGCGACAGCGCATATATATATATATTTGTGTGTCTGTGTGCGTAAAGAAAAGAGACACAAAAAGAGAAGGCAAGAGAATGTTTGTAAGTCTGTGTGGGTGGCAACAGTCCATTGTATCCAGTACTTTGCTTCTCCACTGGCAAACCTAATAATCTAAAGCACACAAATGCGCACACATCGTCCATTCCCCGATAGGTAAGTCATGCTGAAACGGGTAACCACTGTTACTTGCTTAAAACAAAGTTAAATCAACACGATGCTGCAGAAGTTGGTGGCTAACTCTAAACACGCAGCAAGATGTGATTAGTTGTGTACTACTGACCATAAACACAAAACATTAAAGAGAATGATAGGCAGAGGTCAGAGGAGAGTTTGTGAGATAAGCAGGTGCAATTGCCTTGTCAAGTCAAATTAGGATCACTTGTAAAGCAAAAATACTCATCGCATTAATACATTTGGTACTCTGTGAATTTATTTCTAACTCAAACAAGCCCCAGAAAAGCAGCCCTGGATCCCTCGCAACCACATTTTCAATATTATAGGTTGGCTGTGTAATATTATTACTCATCTCAGCATTAAACAAACCGGTATATTTTATTAATACTGTGTATTTTCAGCCATGGCTTTATGGTACAGACTTTGCTGTGTATTTGATGGGCTTCATTTTTCAACTCAAAAACATGCTTCTTATTGCTACTTCACTTGGATGTTTGACCTTCACTGTGCAGCTGTGATGCAGAGTTTGATCAGTTTTATATAAAAATCCATTCCAGAGGGTCATGCAGTCACTGAGCTCACTTTTGTGGTGCATCTCACACCACAGCATAGCTGGCATCCATCATTCTTTTTGGATCATGTAACTACAACCAGTAACAAAACTTACAAAAAAAAAAATACAGTCTCATGCCTTCTTTCTGACAAAAATGCAGCCCAGGGTTTTAAAAATCACTGCAGTTGAGTTCCAGATATCCTGTCCTGACCGTTAGCTCCTATTATGGGACTGAAAACAAAAGATCATACAGTTCCCATAATGCAACTGGACAGCATTCAGTTTTCTGTTCCGTTTTCATAGGCTGAACATGAATGGCTGTGAATAGTAAATTACCTCTGGTGTGTAAGATTGGTAGGTCATTCCTTTAATGACAGTCTTGTACCACTGATCAATGTGAAAATAAACATCTATTGATAACTAACCTCTTTGTGTCCTGGGTCCAGAGTCAAGTGCACTGGCCAAGTGTGAGAACACCCTAAATAACAAACCCCATCCTTTTTCCGCTTTTTGCTTTGTTTTTCCATTACCCTGAGGTTATTCAGTTCCTCTTTCACCCCCCCCCTTGTCCCCTTCCTTTTCCTTTGGACTGCACAAAATAAGACAGCCAGTCAACACAATGACAAGTAGACAATAAAACACTAAACAGAAGGGGTATAGAGTGCGTGCGATGCAGGACAGGCAGTGACAATAGACCAGCTTTGCTAGGCTCTTGTATAGTGAAGGGAAAAACTCAAACAGAAAGAACAGAGACTGTGGATTTACTGATTTTCTACTTTACGGTCACTGCAGTACCGCACCACACATTTTCTTTTGTGCTGCGAGATTTTACAGTACATGTTCAGCAACTGGATCCACTTCCTTATCTTCTGAATTGATTTTCACTCCAGCAACAAGCAACGGCTATAAAGTGGTTGTGTGCTACGACCCCAGGCATTTGTACAGAGCAACAGTTTATCTGGTTGGACTCTAATCATGATCTCAAAGGATGCAATTTAATTTAACCGAACTGTGCCACTCATAAAAGCTGCAAGAGGCATAATGTAAGGTGACACAGGAGAAATGGAAGCAATTTAGTGGCAAAGCACAGTTTGAAGTCAGGCACATGTTTTAGTAGCAGCCGATAATTCAAAGGAAACCAGGAGGGAGTTCAGTATGATGGATTTGCAAACCTATTTAATCTTACGTCCAAGAGCAAAGTGAAATCTTCCCACGTCACTCAACTTTCTGATTCTTTCCTTTAACTTATCTTCCACCAGCAAAGCGTTTGGTTGATTGTTATTTAACTCAGTAGGACCATCAGTGTGAATCCTACATAAGTGAGGGAGCGCAGTTGTCTGGAATTTCTCTGTGTGTATGTGTTTGTGTGGTCAGCAATGTCTTCCCGATGTTCCCGCGCAACACGCTTCACCCTCATTAGCGCTGAATGGTTGATCCAATTGGTCCATTTAATGGTGCATTCCCTCCCCTGGGCTTCTTCAGTGAGAACACGGGCATGCACACACACACAAACAAGTAAATAAATACACTCAAAGCCGCACACATAAACAGATGTCATTTAGGAAATATTTAAAGGAAGTACAAGGATTATACTGTGCAAATATGAATACAGAAAAGAGATGTAAGCTGCACACAAGTTAATTAGAAAACATGCACAGGCCACAAGCGTACTGTATACAAATTTACAGATGAGCCTATTAAGCAAGTGTGAATCAAACAGCAGAACTTACTTTCTCTAAGATTCCTAAATGATTAGTCAAAGCAAAAACTCTCCGAGCGCTGATCATCTCTATGTTTAACAAATCAGTGTTTTAACAGCGTGATTACAGCAGCGCTGCTCTGTAACTAGGCAACTAAGAAATACAATAACCACTCTTCTGTCGGTGCCTGTGATCTGATCTGAGTACATTTCTTGTAATCTCTCCTGACAATAGTCATTTCCATTTATTTTTTTATGTGCTAAAAGATTTCTCTTGAACCATAAAAGTGAGGAGAGAAGAAACTGGATGTAATCTGCACCACTGCCTGCACGATCAGATTAATTTTGAACTCTAAAGTCAAAAAGGAATGATAGCTCACTTTGTCAGGGCACCTATCAAGCAAAAGGTTGTGTTATCACATGCCCAATCAGCTCGCCTCCACCCCCACAGCCCTGCTCAGGTGTTCCACATGTCACACCCAGATTAGCAGCAGCTAAAACTATGTGCATGCGCACACACACATACCCAGAGCAAAGCATGAATGTTAACCGAGCATGCACGCTCACACAAGTAGTTGAGCGTATAATGCTGACCACACCTAGCTGATAAACATGGCACGTATTCCACTTATTAACCCTACTTTCTCCTCTGCACAGCCTGTTACATAATAAACCAAAAGACACCACTCCTGTTGTACCTCTCCTTCCACATATAGACTTGTCCTGCTCTATCAATCCTGGTTTGTTCACTCCTGATATATTACTATATACATATTTGCTTTGCTCTGTTCCTATCTATCAACTCAAGAGAACAAAACTCTCATTTAAAATACTGAGGGTACATCAATTTCTTTTAGTGACAGGAGAATGGTTTGAAGCCCAAAATAGTAGACAGATTTGGGTCCAGATCTGGACTAAATAACAATTAGGTCAAGAGCAGGAACTTTCAGACCCTAGTCAGTGCAGCTGGCAACCTTGTCTGAAGCAGGACATTTCTTTAGCTTTATAACCTAAATATCCCCTCCTGGACCTCTCACACCAAGCAGAGCTCTATGACTTTAATTTGAGAACCTCTGCACTGGCAGCATAACAGTATACCGTAGCTGCAACACTGTTTCGTTACATGTCATTATTTCATCTATGTGAATCAATGACATGATTTAAAGTAAAAAAAAAATTAACCCGAGTTTAGGTTTGACAAGGAAACAATGTTTTCAATAAAGCTTAAAGGAATGTGGATTCACAAAGCATATTTCTAGTGGAAATCTACAATAATCAAATACTGACAGCAGCATGATTCAGATCTATTGTAGGACCTGCAATGCACTATTAGTGACAGTGGCCAATGCAGGTGGTAGTGACTCAAACAGGGCAGGAAGAGGATGATATGCTGAGAGTGCCTTTATGAGAGATGATTCACTGAGGATCACTTGGTTCACAACACATGTGGTTTGGTGATGAATAAAAGGCTTTAATCAAACACATATTGTGGAATAGCTCCCTTTGCACATTTCTTTCTCGCCTGCTTTGCTACAACTTTAAAATCACAAAAAAGGCAGTTAGTGTGATTGTCATTCATGACACCTTTCTGCAACCAAACAGAAGCACTGGCATAATGAGAGATGGGGAAACAGACATCTCATCAGCTGGCGAATCACAGCACATCATTTGTGCATGTGTTAAAAACCATGTAGTTGAGAATGTTTTTTTTAATGACAGGGTGTTTTGATTTTCTTGCATCCTTCTCTACTTTCCAAATAAGACAAAAGTGTGTTGCCAACTCCAGTGTGACTCCCAACATGTTTGCTGGCATGGCCTCTTGTCTCACTTGCTCTTTCTGTGCCCTGAGCGCTCCCTCTCTTTCTTTCTTTCTCTCGCTCTCTCATCAGGAGAGCCAAAGTGTACAGCTGACTGGTAGGTTGGTGACAGAGATAAATGGCACTGATTCCACTCTGACTGGTGATGACTATGTGATCAAATTCATTACAGATCCTGGATTCCAGAGGACACTGATATGACAACAAAAACAATTTCTCCTCATAATATATAGGCTGATATATACATGCACACATACTGTAATTTTAGCAGGAATCTCACAGATTTGTTTGTCAAAGACATTACACAGGCAGGTTATTTTTACAGTATTAAACTTAGCACTGTTCACAGGTTCTGCACCACCATCTGTTCAACTGTGATATGCTACTCAGCCAACTCACATGCTGCAGAATATTGTAAATAGTGGAGTCTGCCGAACAGCAGAGTCACGATGGCACTGTTCCTAAATCACCTGAAGTGTTTCTCTCCGATACAAGTTTTTCATTTTTCATATGCACCAATACAGACAAATCTCTGCTCTAAAATTAACTGTAATAACTGTGCCTGCAAGTGCACAATCAGTCATTTCTATATTATTAATAGCAGTGGTGCTCTTCAGATTAGCAGCATGGCTATTGCAGTTTATGTCTGTCAATGTGCAATAAGTGTGATTTTTATGTGGTTTATAGTTTTTTTGTTTTTGATACTGACACATTTTTCTCTACACCTGAGGTTTGCACTCAATTTTGTTGTACTGTGTACAATGACAATAAAGATTCTATTCTATTGAGTCTAGACCAGGGGTGCCCAAACTTTTCCCCTCGGAGGGCCAAAATGAAAATGCGTTACTGGGCTGAGGGCCGGGTGGGCGGTG